TCTCTCTCTCTCTCTCTCTCTCTCTCTCTCTCTCTCTCTCTCTCACACACACACACACACACGCACAGACACACACACACACACACACACACACACACACAAAGCAGCAGAAATGAACAAAGGAAAGCACAAATTAACCCACCTTAGGTCATGTTGGTGCACTCGATTCCACATCCGAAGCCTCAGCGTCCAACCTTTTGGATGCAGAGCCCTTCGCGATGCACAGCCCAATCTCCAGCATGACCAGAAGCTTAGGAACAACAATCTCTTTCTGTGCGCGTGTGTGTGTATGCGTGCGTGTGTCAGAGAGAGAGAGAGAGAGAGAGAGAGAGAGAGAGAGAGAGAGAGAGAGAGAGAGAGAGAGAGAGAGAGAGAGAGACAGAGAGAGAGGGGATGGTGTGTTAATCTGTGTGTGTGTGCCTGTGTGTGTGTGTCGTCATACTCGCTATACACTCAAAAAAAAGCATGACTGTGCCGAAGTCTTTCGTCGGACTTCCACCGACTCATCAGGAGGTTGAACCCCGACATTCTGTGCATGTGTCTACATGCGTGTGTGTGTGTGTGTGTGGTGTGTGTGTAGAATGCGTAGAGTAGCGTACAGCAGCGCAGAGTCCAGTCCACAACGTCTTCGAGTAGCTTAGCGTGTCAGCAGTCCAAGTCATCAGTAGCTTAGTGTGTCTGTAGTCCGAGTGTCGAGAGACCGGGGCAGTTTGTACGATGAAGTTGGTTACTACATGTTCCACGCGCGCATTGCCCCAGTACAGTTTGCGGTACCGGCGCTGGCCCTGTAGGCACGCGGGCCTGGTAATGCGCAATGCCGGGGTAGGCATGCAGGGCCAGTACAGCGCGTGGTGCACCACGGGACCGGTACGACGGTTCAACTTCTAAGAAAAAACGATCAGCAGACGATCGGGACCATCGCGCAGCAAAAGATAGGAGGGCCCCGATCGTCTGCTTGTCACAGGCAGGAAATTAGCAGTAGTTATATATGTAGTGATTGTGCCCAAATAGGATGGGGATGCTAAAGTCTGGAAAATGTCTCGTTCTGACTGACGATATCAGATGCGCGGGAATATGGAGAATTTTATAAGACTTCAAAAAAAAAAAGTGTAATTGTCGAGACAAAAGAAGACAGAAGAGAAGGAAGAGACTCTCCCACAGGAGAAGTCGCTGGAGATGCATCGTGTGCAATCACGTCCTAGTGAAAGGAAAGCTACCTTTAACAGAAAACACCTTACATTGTTGCAAACAATCTTTCTGCGTGTTCATCGACCCAGAAACAACAAGCCAGGATGGCAATTTTAGGGTTTATAAGAACTCAGAAGACAAGACATGAGATTCAAACATAGACCAAGACAAACCACAATCTTGGACACCACAACATGAAATTATTTCTGGGAGACGGGAAGCGTCAGTCAGATGATGAACCTCAATTTGGCATGAAGCAACAACGCAGCAATTTAAGCGCAGCAACCCATAACAGTTGCAACCATCTGCACTGCACCTTACCTCATAGTTAATGCCATCCAAGGCCATGGCATTACTGGCCTCCTCGACTGTTCTGAACTCAACAAATGCAAACTTCTTCTCCTGGTTGATGTACACATTCACAACAGCATCACCTATAGAACATATAAATCCAAGTCTCAGTATAAAGCCAACGATACAAGCAGCAAACGACAATCATGGCATGCGAAAACGGCTGTGCAGAAGGCATACAAAAACACAAGATAAACAGAGTGCAATTTCCCCCCCACTTGTGTGTGGTTGAGCCTGAAGCTCCGACATCTCCGTATGCTTTAGCTTGGGTTTTTTATACATACAAAAACACAAGATAAACAGAGTGCAATTTCCCCCCCACTTGTGTGTGGTTGAGCCCGAAGCTCTGACATCTCCGTATGCTTTAGCTTGGGTTTTTGATATTACTAAGATAAGATGTATAGCGTGTCTCCAAGTCCACGTACTACACAATAAATTCATTGTAGGCATTGCTCCGGAAAGAACTTCACATTCCTGTCTGAATGATGAGCCGGCTCCCGTGTCCGCTGGGTAGTACAATGCGTGAGCCGTACCCCCCCCCCCCCCACACACACACGCGATTGACGAAAGCAACAGCTGAGTAGGGGCTGTTGAGTAGCACTGTGCCAATCTTCCACAATGATCAATTTACACACCATTGACATACAATTTTTCATTACTTCCCGGCCTGTTTCTTCAAACTTTGAACAAGTTCTTTCAACAATGTGCACTGCTGAAAGATTAAAAAAAATTATGGCACAGCAGAACACATGGACAACAAAAAAAGTGAAGCAATCGAAAGAGAATGCAATATTCCCAGAAAGCGCAAAACAGGAAAATGAAGAAATAGGCGGCCACACTTCCCCCCACTGAAAAGAAAGCAAGACATGTCCTGCTAGAATTTCATGTCCCGGTCGTGGACCGCAAATATCTGCTTCATCTGGAGTCACAGGAACCAGTGAAAGTCGTACAGAGATAACTCTATCATAAATTCATAATACCAATCAGCAGTCATAATCACACTTACAAATATTGCTCATGACAGAAAAAAGGACACAAAAAAAGGTTGCTGTGCACCTGGCTGGACTCGGTGCTGCCACGGAATGCTCATACTACGTCCTCTTACGATCACAGAATCGCAAAATGAGTGGGCAGATCAAGTCCTTCTGAAGGTAGGACTCGAGCTGGCTGAGAAGGACTCGAGCTGGCTGAGAAGGACTCGCTCTGGCCGCTGATTTCGCGATTCGGTGATGATTAGCCGTAGTGCGAGTATACTCTCGATCGTGCATTGCACAGCACCAGGCATATTGACCAATACGTATTTTGCATGGACACTTTGTGCGCCCAGAAGTGGCTCTCCACATAGGTAACGGCCATGTCCTCCACATCCGACAGCCCTTAGCTATTCACATAGATGACTGCTTACTCCATGCTCCCTAGACAGAAGGAAACGTCATCCTGCCCCAATGAACATGGCACTTGGCTATCGCACCAAAGATGGTCCTCGGTACTCTTAGCTGGCTGCTGCTCTTAAGCTGTAACATCAAAGCCGGTGCTAGTGCTAAGAAGTCAACAAGCCCAGTTCCCCCACTCATTCATGCAGAGGAGTAGCCTTAAAGGTTATCGAAGCTGTCACTCATTCAAGCACAATCTAATATATAAGACGAACCGAAAAATACAGTTATTGAAGATAGATCTCATATAGGCTCAAACGTTCCTGTTCCGTGCTTAAACCACCAGTATACCCGGGGCTGGAAGCGCGGCACTGAGCGTCAAGCCTTTCAGAACCGCCAGAGGAGCACTTTTTTCCTTTTTTGGCTGGCACCACCAGCAATTGTGGTCCGATGGGGCCCAAGGCGCGGAATTTGCGGAGCAGGTGACAAGCAAACGTCCACAAGGCCGGGGAAGTATACTGGCGGTTAAAAGGAGGCCTCACTGTGTCTCGCATAGAGCATAAATTGCAAGATATTGACCTGCTCGCCGCTACGGTAATGCTCTGTGACAGAAATTCATTACCTGGACCCGCTGTATTCCCACCCACGGCTGCCATTGCCGAACTGAAGAATGTTGCTACACTCTGCACAAAGACATAAACAGGAAGGCAAAAGGGGTCATGGACCCATTCCTTACAAGGTTGTACTCTCATTTCTGGAAATCATTACAAGACCAAGCTTGAAATAGGTACAACACTGCCACAACGACGCAGTCCGCTGCTGCTGCTACATATATGGGCCCCTGGAGAAGGATAGAACCAATAGAAAGCATTACATTCAACAGCATCTACTTACTCAAACATCGACGGCATCGTTAATCATGCACCCTCTCAACCTCCAACATCGTGCACCAGCCGAAAGTGCACTTTCATAAAATCTACCCCCTCCCACCTCACATTCAAAATACACACAAACCCCTCACTAACCAAAGAAGTGAAACACACACGCACGCACGCACACACACACACACACACACACACACACACACACACACACACAAACTCGCTCGAGTAAACACTAGCTAGTTCCTCTGATCCTCACCTGGTGTTACAACAACAAAATTTAAACCACCAATACCTCCAAGCCTCTTTTTGCCAAGGGGGAAAAGAACTGCAGGCCAGGTTTTGCCGAAGCGGCAGTCCAGCATTCCTCCCCCCCCCCTTTTGGCTGTCGCTGCCAGTCATTTTGGTCTGGAAGCACTGTTCATCCAGGGCGGGAATCGTGGAATGTGCCAATTTGGTCTTTCGACGTTGCCTGCGCAAGGTAGTGGTGGCTTAAGGCAATGGCAAATACCGATACCACATCGATACACCTGCACTTTTTCTAGCCCGGGAAAGGTGTGTTGTGTAAAATCAAGTGTGAACTTTGAATACAGATACCCTACCTGCTCATTAGTCATTGGCGGCAACCCTCCCACATAAACACGCCTTGCATGCCGTGTAGCCTGCACATAGAGAAATCGACCGGGCAAAAACCACATGAGCCAGCGAAGGGATGATATCCTCCAACACAAGGAACTAACACAAGATAGCCCATGGCACTCCAGTGAATGGGACTCACATTGAGAGCTTGAGGAAATAGCTCGAACCACTCTGAAGGGCATATCCACCCTAACCCAAACAGCAACAAATTCCTACGCTTCTGACTATGGCATGATAAACCCAGAAACGATCACAAATATCTAGCCAACACTCCACAAGTTTTTCGGTACTCCGCCAAACACGCCCCGAAATAGAAAACATGTTCAACCAACCCATTTCAATAATAAATTAATAATGCAAATTACCTTATTAGCCGACAACGTAGCAATATTCAATATTGGTTGCATACATCGAGTACAGATCATTCCCTCTGCTGAAGACGAACCGTGCTGCTATCCGTGTTCTTCTCCTCCCCCCTCTTCCTCCACATCCACCTTTCCCCTTTCTCCAATAGAAACAAACGCAACAATTTTCACACGCAATACGCAAACCTTCCTTAATAGCCTGTACCCAAGCCTCTGCCCAACCTTCTGCACAAGGCTTTACATACTTCAGCAGGGCATTCATCGCGTTTTCTTGCAAAACCAGCACTTCAGAAGAAAACTGAAGCGAAAACGAACGCGAAGCATCAACACACTGTCTGCAGGCGTTACATTTCTGAACATCGATCAACCTCCAAAATTGGCACAAATTTTTACAGGCCCCTCACAAATTCTTCAAGACATTTCAGCAACCAGAAAACTGTACATTCGGCGACCAGACAGTGTACACTCAACTTGGGTACACTCCCTCACTCAGAGAACAGGCAAGCAAGCAGGCAGGCAGGCAGATGTAGGCAGGCAGATATAGGCACACAAGCTTTAATCGATCAATCACATGAAAGGTAAACCCTCACCCGTCACCTGACCATTGATAGCGGCCAAGTTACAAGGACCCAGTTCCTTGTACACCCACCAACCCCAGCGCACCCTTTCTTTTTCTACCAAACCAAACCTTCCCTGCACCATTTCATCCCACAGACCCATGGCAACACCAACAATACCCAAAGAAACACCACCACCCATGCCCATAAAAGAATCCCCAAACCCGAAAACGCAAAATGAGAAACCCTCTCATATAATTGATGAGGCTGGGCCTAGTGGAAACTGCCGTTTCTGAATGGTTGACTCCCTGCGATGCGAGGCAAAGTTCACACACCTGCTGAGTCATAGCTTGTGCAGGAATTGCTGGGAGACCTCCGAACTGCAACCAAGAGGGACGGATGCGCGTCAAACAATGTCTCTAAGGGCCTGGAACCAATGCAGACATGTCTATACAGATGGCATGTCCGCCAAACGAAGTCTTGACCCACAAAGCATGGGGAGATATTCAGGTGAAAGCAATTGTTTCACGAGAGGGGGGTTCGGGGGGTTCACATCAAGAACAACTTGGCTGGTGCAAAAGATTGGCAAATTGGGGTTCACCATTCCAATTACTTTCTCTTCCACAATGCCAAATTGATACCCATCCTCTGTGTGTGTGTGTGTGTGTGTGTGCACCTCTTCGCAAACCATATACCCCACAAGTGCACCGCCACAACCATCACACAACCCGAAATTCTCCGCGACCATCTCAAGAAAAAACAAGTTTTCCACCAACTCAAAAGCAAGAATCGCAGCAAACACACACCTGCGTGCCAGCAAACGGAAAGGCTCCCGTAAATAGCCCTGGCATTGTTGGAGTCATTGCAGTTGTGCCGAGTTGACCTGCAAAAGCCACCGTCAGTCCCTGCACAGGGTCACAGCATTTGCGCTATCCCGCAGACTCTGTCCTCCTAACCAATCCAGTACCGGCGAACGACAACTTATTTCACTGCATACACCTAGGCCCATCAGGATTCGAACTTGGGTCCGTATTTCAGTTTTCACCAGCTCATTGCCTATAAGGGCAACTTCAATCTTGTTACCACGCATTTTGAAAGGGAAAGAAACAAGCACAAACAAATGGACCAATTCCTGTCAACTCGACCTTTCAACGAGCACAGTTGAGCAAAACAGTCCACAGTTCGGAGTCTTCAGCGTACAAGCAATAGCACCATGCCATTCATCACCGGTCACATGAACGGGTCATCTTCTACCTCAGCCGAGAAACAGATTCCACAGTTCGGGACCTCCAGCATAATCAGAAGCATGTGTTGCATAATTCCCTTATATTTTTCAGCCCCACAGCAAGACCCAGCCGAGCACTCTTCAAAATACCGCCTAAGATACGACTTCCTCCAATTAGCATTAGCATTTTATACCCTTCTGAGGAAAACTACTACCTTCTTCACCCCAATAGAACGCCCGATCATTATCGCCACATCTGGACTGAAGGTTGGCCCAAATACGGGTATAACCACCGGCTGTTGTATTCGGGTGAAGACGATAGGTCACTCTACGCTGCATTTGAACCGGCGACACGCCCAGCGTCTGGCTGTGGCCAAGGGAGCCTCCTGTGCTGGTTTGTGAGAGGCTCTGCATGAACCAGTAGAGACGCAGAAGAAAAAACCTACAGACTTAATTATCTCTGAAACATGGGGGTGTAATAAAATGGTCCCTCAACATGCTGGAGCTGTAAAACGACTGCAGAAAATGCTCAGATGATCCAGATTCTAGAATCCAAAAAAAATACAAAAAACAAGGAATCACCCCAAAATATAACATTACAGGAGCCACAGAAACACTAAGCAGACGCAGGAGCGCCTCTCACTCAATGCGACACGTTCAAATATAAAGCCATGAAATTCCCCCACAATGCCCACATTATAAAGTACATCTCATCTCTGGCGACAAAGCTAACCTACTGATCCGTTGATGACACCTCCCGCACCTAAACGCCAAACACAGGTGCTCTCTTTCACTTTATACTAGTTTATAACTTTACAGTACCCATTATTCATACCCATCTTGGGTCCCCAACCCCCCCCATGGCAAGAACTCATCAACAAAAAACAACACTTCCTGGATGAAGGCCACAGTTCTCACATAAAACATTCAGCAGAGTCATTAGCTTGTGTGTTATTCCTGGCTCTACCAAACATGGTTTCGATCTCTTTCCACTGACCTTCAGCTCGTCCATACAAACACACGATAGGGGTACAAAAGCAAACCCCTACAAAGCCTCAATAATCCAACCTTGGGTTACCAATACCCTTAAGCTTATCAACAGCACATGGATGTGATCCTCAATGTCAAATTGACAATGCTCAACTTCACCCAAGGTAAGCATGTAGCCAAAAAATATGTGTGTTCCCATCCGCCAGAAACTAAAGCGATGCTTGAAAAATAGAAAAAAGTATCATTGTAGTGATTAATCTTTCTCTCGCTAGCGAGCCTACGGTCTTTGCTTTTTTCCGAGTATATTAGATTGCTTTGGCTTTGAGAGATCGATCATCAAAAGCTCCGTTAAAAAAAAAGAGAATTCATAATGGCTTTTAGTCCCGAAGGAACAACCTCACTGCAGAAGGGGCTTTGCGGAGACCACTTCTATCCCAACATTGCTTTAAAAAGGATTCATAATATCAAAGAAAAAGAAAACGACATCAGGTCAATAACAGGAGTTACTTAAAGAAAGACGAAGTTGTTCCGCAGAAAAAAATGCCTACCTAAGGATTGTAAACTGCTAGTAGTGGCAGTTGTTGCTGCTGCTGCTGCTGCCGCCGCCGCCGCTGCCGCTGCCGCTGTAGGAAGCATCCCAGTTGGCGGATTGACCATACCTAAACCCGAAAACGTCATCCTCAAGAATTTTCACGGAAATGAAATGACATCATACAGGGGCGAGGGCGGAGAAATGCGAAGGAGGGGGGNGGGGGGGGGGGGGGGGGGGGGGTAGGGAGGTAGGAACATGAAGTATAGGGAAAGACCACGGTGTAGGTTGGTGCAAACATACAGCAAGACCGTGCCATTGAAGCAACTGAGGGAAGATAGGCCCCTGTCGACAGGCCCTTGGTCCAGAGAGCCCTGATCCTACCTACCACAGAGCATTTCCAAATTCCCCGGCAGGCCCCCGCTTATTAGGTAAAAGAAGAGACCAGACTAGACTTCATATATGCGTTCCCCCTTGATGACCGCAACACCAAAGCAGCGCATAGTGTAGAGAGAGTACCTCCTTAATCATGACTTGGCATCACCAACAACATACGGCCTTAAAGAACGCACTGGCCATTACCCAGATACACGTGCAATGCCAATGCAAGGAAATGACCGGACTGGAGTAACTAAAAAGAACTATAATACAAAGGAAAAAGAATTCCATTCTGCCTGGTTCTGTTTTCTGATTGAAACATAAGGAGGTATCGCAAAGGTCCTTCAAGATGTTCATTTCAGAATTGACGAGGCAGCAGAGATGGAGTACAGGAAATAGAGGGGGTAATGATAGAGCAAAAGAGAAAAACAGAGTGTTCGGTTGAAGATGATCAGCGATGCACCACAAATGAGCCAATCCTCTCCCTTCTTGAGATTACAGGCCTTCGGTGTCAAGTTCGCAGACAGGTAAGGAAAGATATGTGGCTGACGATGCCTTCCGCATCCACAAAACAACAGAGCAAAAAAGACATCACAAACGACAACAATCAAACAACAAACGACAAACGACATGCGAACGAATAAACAATGTCCCTCAGTCTTTCGCTTAAGGAGTGCTGTTTCTTCAGGCACACTGGACACGGCAGGACCCCCGACAATACTACCCAGGACTGACCCGTTTGTTGTTGTAAATGCCCCGCAAATTCACTTGAAACAGAAAAAAAAAAAAAAAAAGTGAACCTCAAACCATCAAGTGCATGGACCCATTCAATTAGAGAAACGGACCCAGACACAGAAAGACAACTAGCGAGGGATAAACACTAGACAGACCAGCAGACAGAGACACAACGAGAGACAGAGAAAAGTAGAGAGAGAGAGAGAGAGCTGGAACATGTCAAAAGAGCCATAGCCATCCCCTTGTCTTCTAAGCGCCTTGACGAGTGTGACATGCGGCTAGTAGGCTCTCCAACTCCTCTACATATATACCAAAAGAAACGTATGACCGTTCGTACCGACACATGTCAAATTTAGCCATGTTCAAGAAATGTCAAGCAAGATAACAAGGCCAGGCAAGAAAGCATCAGTTATAAATGCTCCGAGCAAGCACAGTGCAGAGGACGCTACGGCAGAACCACCATCTCCTTCCCCCCCCCCTCCTCCTCTTCTGCCACCCCCACCTCGCCCCCCAAAGACAGGACATCTGCATTCGACTCTGTGTAAAAGCCACCACCAGTACTCACCATAAGGCC